TGGTTGTAGTTCATGACTAAAATCAATCTTATATTGAATATTTTTTTCGTGGTGGTCATATTTTAAGTGTCTCAAATCCATGACAGTGGGATCATTTGATTTCTTGCCTGGACGAATGCTCTTGTAAATCCATGATTTTAAGAAATCCTTGAAAAACTCATGAGTTACAAAGAGAGCTTCTAAGGGCATTGGGTTTTTCCTTGCTTCTTTTGTGAGTCGTACATAATCACTTGGCAGTACAATGAAAGACTTTTTCAATCTTCGTTCTATCACGGAGTGGACAGAGTTACACTCCATTTGAGTGTGCCCTTTTTCTAAATATTTTTGGTCTATCGTGATACCTTTCTAAATTGAATAATTTGGCAAGGCGTTAGACAGCACACAATTCCTATTTTGGTAACATCATCCATCATAATATAAAATTATCGGTATGTCTTTGACGCACTACTCTTGAATAAAGTTTAATATAAAAGTTGCAAAGCTGGAAGCAGATAAATCACCTTCTGACTCATTCCACCAGTAATTTGTACATTCGCGCGATGCCAAATTATAAATTGTAAAATTATGAACAGCTAGTGTTGTTTTGTAATAAAGCTTATTTGCGTTAATAACTGAACATATTTTAACTGCTTGCATCTCCATGCAAACAGCGTAGATAGAACCTTGAATGGCTAATTGCTTGTCTGCGTCTTTTTCTTTTCTTGCTGCATTTTTTGCAGCGATAGATATAGCATCGATCTTTACGTGGTCTGTACAGTTAGATATTCATGTCAGAAAAAATGTTATCAATTAATGTATTGCTGACTATCAAATTAACTTTCATGTTATCTTCGTAATATTTTCTATACTCTCGATATATATCCTGTTTGGTCTGAAAGAACTGCTCCAAATACAGCTTTGAGGTCTCTTGTCTACAATAGTGTGAAGGCACCTTCGCTAAGTTGTTAAAAAATTCAATTAAATTTTCTCGTTTTAATTTGTTACTATTTGAAATGCATCTTTGGTTAACGGTAGACGAGAATGAATTAATCCCGTGTTCCATTCCTTTTAACGAATCGTGTACCATATCTTCTTTGAGACCAAGTGTGCTCAAATACATCTTTTTGCATGCTCTGAATTTCATATTGTCGTTATTCCTTAAATGGTAGTAATAAGTGCCTTGTCTTCCAGATCCTTGTGATAATTCTCTTTGCGGTCTTAACATTCCTACTTTGACGTCATCAGTACTGCATCTTTGATAGCCGATGTATTGTTTGCCGCACATTCTTTTATTTTTTGTCACACTTCTTTTCCAATTTCCTGGGTTGAACCCTTTTCTTCTTTTTTTATTAAATATTTCTGACTTCTGACAAAAATCATCTTGAACATGTAAAACCAAGTAATCCATATGACTATTATTATTACTATTTGTCGGATTATCTAATGATTTATTAGGGTATGTATGAAAAGATGTGTTTCTGTCTAGTTCACTATCATTTTGTAGATTGCAGTTAATGTTGTAATTTATAGATAAAACATCTTGTTCATTACTTTCTAAAGTTTCAGTGGTCATAGTCATCATAACTAAATTTTTTTCACGTGATATGCTTTGATTCTGAAAATAAACAAACAGCATATAAATAACCTGTAACACACAATTATTTATAAAGGGGTTTAAGTAATAACCTGTATCATCTTTAATTGAAGAAATGTTATATTTTCTTATTAGTATTAAATAATTTCTTGGTGCTTTTGCATTAAATCACCTTTAAAAACAAACAAAAAGCAGTTACTTACCATAAATGATGCCATCGTCAAGGAAAAATCACGTTTTTTACACCAATTTGACCCTAACCTAACAACATGCATAAGAAACTAATAGGATACGGGTTGTTACACGGCGCCAAATGGCTGTAGTAGATACAGCATATTAGAAACATGAGATTCGAAGACCTTGCAATTTTATTTCAGATTCGGGATTTTCTTAACAGATAGAACATTCCTTCTTTATCATTATGGCGCGAAAACCTAAAATTTGAATTTTTTGTAGATACGGGGTATTAGAATGGGACCGTCGATATACGTTTATGATGGATATATTAAATGGTTTGGCGTTAATTCTCAGGTATGCCATGCGGTCATTTATTGGTTTAAATTGCATAATATTATTTTGTATTTTTCCTGTAGTTATAAATGCAACTCCATATTGACCTTGTTTTTCGTGCCCAGAGTAGTGTAATGTGTAATTTTTTTTATTTATTTCTCCTTGACCTGCCCATCTAATTTCTCGAATTGCTGCAACATCAATTCCGTATCTTTCCAGCTCTGAGACAATCTCTTGCATTTTTCCTGGTTCAAGCATTGTTCTGATGTTCCACGTACTTATTTTTACTTGCTCGTGTTTTTTAATTTTTTTGTTATGTTTTTTTATGTACGTATGTTTTATTATTTTTTCTTGAAAATTCATATCCTTTTTCTTTGCCATTTCGTATTTCGTTTCTTGTTGGATATCCGATATTTCTTGTTGTATCAGTTTTTTGACGTCCCTTGGTTATCTTTTTCCAACTCTTTTTTTTCTTTATTCCATTTCCATATGTCTCCGTCAATATTTAATTTTTGATAGCCAACTCGGATGTTCTTACCTTTAAGTTTTTCTAATTTTCCAATTTTCCGTATTTCCTGTTGTATCTTCATCTCTTCGTGCGTTAGATCATTATTAATGTATATTTCTTTTTTTTTTGTAGTATTTTTGCAGTATTTTTGCATCATCCGAATTTTTAACAAATATATTGAGAAGCCTAATTAACAATAATTATAATATATTACCACACAGTAAATACAATTTATTATGTTCTTTACGTATAACAAAAAATTAACGAATTAGTTAATCATATAACATACACTCTGGAGAATGTCTCCATGCAATAAAGAATTACTAGATATAAGTACATATAGTTAATTAAACGATGTGAGTTATGATACTTATTATCAACACAAAAACGAACATAGTATCGAAACTAAATAGTAGAATACGTAATATTAACCTTTTTTAAAATATTTTCATTAAATTTATCGATGAGATAGAGTAGGATGAACTTATCTTATTTGTTTCCAGCACATTCGTTTTCAACAGTTTACAAATTAACAAATCTATAGTATTTATAAATAAAACTACATGTTACATATTTGAGGCCACACTTAAAAATAAAAATCTAATCGACTAAAGAAGTCAATATGACAAGAAATATTTGGGGCCATGCCCAAAAGTTAAAAAGGAGGCCGCTGGAGGGATTTACACGGCAAGGAAACTTGCCAGTGTCCAAATAACGGACACGCTTACTTTACGTCTATCAAAAAAACAACAAAATGATCTAATAACGTGGCGGCTTTGCTTAGACTTTCCAGATAACTTTATATTGCCAATGGTATGTCTCACCCAGGGACTGTAATAAATGTCTGTAAAATTAGCATATTCATTTTATACTACCTACATCTCGGCACGGAAAAGTGGTACAATAGCCCGTTTTGGCGGCATATTTTATTACTAATTAATTGCTGTTTATTGGTATAAGAACCAATCTCCAAAAACCCACCCATAATACCCTAGCTGAACAAACACCCCCGAAAAACCGAGATATTGACCAAAAGGCAAACCGCAAGAAATTGGTTGCTAATTTATTTTCATAGTTTTTCGCCAAGAAACAATTTTTGAATATAAGATTTATATCGAGAATCTCGCAAAAAAGAATCTGCATCGACCTGAGCTTTAAAGAGGTAGCACCAAAATTTAAACATATAATAAGTTGTTATCAACAGGTCCTCGAAGACACTTCGTCTTAGGACCATTTTACCTATGTAGGGTCATACGTCGCCATGTTACCAATTCCAACGGTAACTTAAACATCATAATTTGTAACCACATATAATGTAAAACAACTATAAATTTATATCATTTAAAGGTTTTTGACCCATATATTTTGGTGGCTCATAGCATGTATACCTCGTTTACACTGATGATGGATTTAACAATCCGACAACGTTTTGTAATATATTTGTGATAGCCCGTTTGGGCATTTTATCATATACCTTTTATAAAGGATATGAAATAAATTTTTTGTGATATATTGTATACAGCCAGCTACAGGAACTTAGTTTCCTAGTGGATTTTTAAATGGGATAGACGTTGCATTGAGTTCGATCAAACTATAGGCACTGGTTTAAATTAAAACCAATAGTGGCTGCGAACCAATTTTACTAAGTTGTTGCACTAAGTAGAAATACAGTGTCGACCATCCTAAGATTAAAAGTAGATCATTGATGTTTTTCGAGGCATCTACATAAAATCAGAGTTCTCCCAACAGGCAGATGTAAGTGTGGAACTAGTATCGCTAATCTAAATCACATATTGTTTAACTGTCCCCTACAAGTCAATACAGGTATGTGGCTGCTTCAAGAATTGCTGAAAGCAACTTTAAAAACGCCATTAAACTTAAATGTACTATTAAGTGAAGATAATACAAAATTTTTTAAATTGAATATGGTTTTTCTGCAAAAACTTAAATTAAAGGTGTGAATGAAAAAGTTGATCATTTGAATGGACATTTCCTTTGTATGTGTACCTATTTGTTGCCCACCTGTCTAATCGTAGTTTATGTCTTGTGTGTTATAATGAATTCGCTCTGATGCATCCCTGAGCGTGAAAAGTACCCTAAACTACAAATTTTGCCATATTGGCAACATGAATTTTGAGACCAAATTGCATCAAAATTACATGAAAAATAGAACATGTTCTAATGTTTGGTCTAGCACAAATATTGCATAAAAATATAGAGTGGTCACGTGCAGTTGAATAATCGGTACCTCTTGAAAAGCATTAAAATTGCATAATGTGAAAATAATTTAAGAAGACAATGTAGTTTTTCATTAATAATATTGATTATTAGTAAACGTATTTTATTACAATGGTGTGTTAGATTTGCTTACAAGTAAATTAAAAGAAGATCTGTCACACTTGCCTAAAGATGTCTAAATCACTCGAGTACCTAGTAATATCACAAATTGTATGTCCTCGAGTTTTTCTAATAGAAAAATTGCTTTGCATATTACGACTTTTACGATTCTTCAAATTTAAATTTAAGTTAGATTTTATATTTCAGGTGGTTGGTTTACCTCACGAAAGGTTAGGCGAAGAAGTATGTGCGGTTGTTAAGACAAAAAGCGGCAACGAGATGACAATTGAACAACTTCACGAATTCTGTGACGGAAAGCTGTCTACGCACAAGATTCCTACCCAAATAAAAACGATGGAGAAGTTTCCCACCACAACGTCGGGGAAAGTACAGAAGAATAAAATAGTTGAACTTCTTTTAAAGAATAAAATGTTATAATAAACGGGTCTTTTATTACATTTTTATGATTCCTACCTAAAAAGGTAGTAAAAATGTTAAAATATTTTACGAGCAACTGCAGAAGAACAAATAAACACAACACTTCCAAGATAAATATGCTAAGAAAAAAACAAGGTTTTAATACGTCAAATTTGCATGATTCGGATCTCTTCAGCTGACAGCTATTGCAGTGTCGTCAGCGTAAAGACTTAACAGGGATCCTGGCTCTGTTGGCGTGTCAGCCGTGTATATGGTGCACAGGTGCGGCGATATCACCGTTCCCTGAGGCATGCCTGCCTCCAGGGCCTCGACTTCGGACAGGGTTGCCCCTATCCGAACTCTGAGCCTTCTGGTGGCTAGATACGATGCAAGGAGACATGACATCGCCTCGCTGTATCCAAGGTCACTCGTTTTATAGAGGAGTCCTTGGTGTCACACTTTGTCAAATGCTTTGCAAACGTTTAGGAATGCTGTTGCAGTGTACATTTTTTCGGTGTATCCTTTTGTTATGAATTTCGTTAGTCTTAGTACCTGTAGTTCGCAGGACTGTTGCTTCTAAATTCGAATTGAGCTTCTGAAATAATGCCTAAGGCCTATGACTATTGGTTGAGTCTTTTCAGAATTAATCTTTGTGCTATTTTGCTTATTGACGATAATAAGCTGATGGGTCTGTAGTTTTCGGGAAAGTAGCTGTTTTTCACTGGCTTTGCAATCATGGTAATATGAGCTTCCTTTCACATGTCTGGAAATTATCTTAGCTTGAGCATGCTGTTTATTATGTTGGTAATATATACGACAGGTTTTACTAGTAGATTCTTCAGAACTCTGTTTGTTATGTTGTCCGGTCGTGGGGCTTTCTTAACGTTTGTCAACTGTATAAGTTGTTTAATTCCTTCTGGGGAGGTATGCATTATACCTAGTCTGCCCTTTCTTCTTTTTATGTTTCTAGCCGTTCTATTTACTTCCTCGGTGAAGTCTAGATCTTCGTAGGAATGTTCGTTGTTTCTACAAGCTCTTTCCATCTCGTCCTTCATGACTTTTGGTTTTTCTTCTTCCGCGTAGTGGAGGAATTGGTTTATTGTCTTTACGGAGAATTTAAGATAGTTTCCAGAACGCAGATTTAATTGGATTTAGCTCTTGGATATAGAAGTCTCAGCATTCGTTTCCATGGTTTTGAAGTTATTTTTTCAATTCCCGGTCTAATTCTTTTGCCATCCTTTTGTCTTCCCTTGTTCTTGTTCAGTAAGGTCTTCTTCTATTTCTATTTTTTCCTTGATTAGGATTTTTAGCTCTTTGCTAATATCTGTAAATCTTCCTCTCTGGGTGGTGGTGGCTTCTGTTATGGGTGACAATCGGTGACAATTGTTATTGTCCGCTCTAATTTTATCACACTTTCTTATAACTCTGATTTATTTCTGATAACGGATTTATTTCTAATATCTGGTAAGAAAAATGAATGAATTTTGATAACATTAAAATTTTGTGTAGTGAAAGGAAAATAAAACCAGTAAAATATTACATTTTTATTTAATTTTTCATATATTTGTTACATTTTTTCAGGCATGTATCAATGATGAATAAATCTTCTTCTTTTTTGTTACGAAGTAAAAAATAATTTTTAAACAAAATTTTATAAAAAATAAAAATTTTAAGTTGGCATTTATGACATTCAGGCTTATTTGTAAGATAAGAAGGTTTTACAAAATTATATTAGAAAATTTCAGAAAAACGTTTATTAGATAAGAACATTTTTATAATTGTTTTTTGAAATATGTTAGCAGCAATTTTATTAACCAAATTAATTTTATTTGGTGAGTTATTAAAATTTTTTTTCTAGTTTTACTTTGTAAGATATTTTGTATTTTTTAACAGCTCTTGAAAATAATTGTAAACACAATTGAAAGCTCGAGATAAAAAATAGTTAACCAATAGCCTCTTTTATTGACTCCAACCCATCCAAAACATATAAATATATATATATATATATATATATATATATATATATATATATATATATATATATATATATATATATATAATATATATATATATATATATATATAATATAATATATATATATATATATATATATATATATATATATATATATATATATATATATATATATATATATATATATAAACTTAATTAACGGCTTTGGATAACTTGATCTCTTCGGCCACGATAACATATTTCAGAAGTTCTCTTCGGTGGAGAATTAGTTGAACTGCATTCTGAATCTTCTGATATATGTAATAATTGTCAAATGTAATAATTATAATAATACATGTAATAATTGTCCTGCATTTGATAACTAAGTCCATTCACTAATGTTTTTAACCAAGAAACCTGTTTACTTCCTACACCTCTACGGTTTTCTATTTTGTCTTTAACGATCAGTTGTAGTATCCTATATCGATTTTCTCTTACTATCTGTTTCAGATAAAACATTTTTCGATGTTTAACAGTATTTAGCAATTCTCTATCTTTGTTGACCCTCATTAGTTTTTCTAGCTGTCCAAGGTATCTTAAGCAACAGTCTATGAATCCACATTTCCAGTACTTTATTAGGTTTATGCTATATACTTTTAGTGTTCACACTTCTTCTAAATACAAAAATACAGACCAAATATAGCACATAACCATAACCTTAATTCTAAATTCAGAAGATTATTGCAAAGAAACATCTTTATTTTGAAAAAATTAGTTTTAGTCATTGTTATTCTGCATTTTATTTCTATGTCTGGATCAATGTAGTTGTTCCGTTATGACAGTTCCCAAAATTGTAATTTTGTAAACTTTTTCAACTTGGACTTCATTTAATTAAAGCTTGGAATTTAAAGGCTAAAAATATAGTTTTGTTTGAGTTTACTTTAATGCCCATTTAAAATCATTAAAAAATGTTGTGGACAAAATATAACTTTGGCTGGCTTTTCGTTGTATGGAGATTTCGTCGGTGTAGTTGTCTCGAATTTTCACCATAGCAGTTTGATTTCAGAGCAGATGATTGAAGGTATTGATAAAGATGGACTTAAGCCAATCTGCGGGAATCACTCCAGTGTTATATATTGCATCTAAAAGTATTACCACTACTTTTATATGATTATATATGATATAAGCTTTAGCAAATCAGTTGGTGTATCATTTGGACCACAAGCTTTTATATTTTTAGCATCATTTACCGCGTGTTATAACTCTGATTTCATAATTTCTGGACCTTTAGTACATTTTTGGTAGGATTCGGTAATACTATTTCTGTTATCTTTAAACAACTCTTATATATAAAGCTGCCATTTTCTTCTTATTTCGTTCTCATTTACAATAATTTTGTTGTTACTGTCAATTAGCACAAAGTCTATTTTTTCACATCTTTATCTCATCCATTTTTCTTTTGCTAATTTTTGTCTCCCTTTTACTACTTCTCTGTAAATGTCCATATTCTGTTTTATTAGATTTTATAAGTCGACGTTGTTCCATCAATTTAAAGATACTTGTGCAGATTTCTTATATTTATTCCATAGTTCTTCTGGATCTTCTAGTTGTTCTCCGATGTTCTTTATTCTATTGTTAAATTATTTTTTAATGTTGTCTAGTTGTTGTCTTAGTTTAGTATCTACCACAAATGGGTGGAGATTAGATACAATATCTAATTCTTGAAATATAGTGACTTACATGTATATATAATATGTTTGGTTTACTAAAGACCCTAGCGTGAGTGTCATCATCAAATGGGGCTTTCCAAGTATATAGTCGTCGCCTGGGTAGTTTATACCAGGTTGCCATGACCGTATCGTTATCTCTAAAAAATTATACAATCTATAACACTTTGTTTCAGTTTTCGCAAGACTTATACTCATTCAGTTGCTTTTACAAGTAAATATAAATATTATATAAGGCTACTCCCCTACAGCAAATAAGTCAGAGGAAGAACTAGAGCAAGATATCAGGCATTACAAGGAATCACACTCAACCCATCACAGCCCTTAATTGCAAATTTTAAACTGAGGCTCGCTAAACCAAAAGGAAGAATCTGAAAGCATCATTAATTACAGAAGAATATAGAGGCAATCAAAGGCAATGTCGGTCAGATAGCTAAGCGGGCTAGGCAGCTGGTTTCTCATTCGCTTCACCTGCGAGAGATGTGAGTTCGATCCCCAGCTGGGATCAGAAAACAAAAAGGCTAACGCAGCAGGTTAAAATTTTAAATGAATCTGCGGCTTAGTCTAGAATATGCTGGTATCTGATCGGCCTATGGTGAAGCAGTACGGCAAGAGATAAGGGCTTGCGGCTCGGTGATACTCCTCCATAGATCCCTACGTGTGCAGCCAAAAAAATACTGGGTATATATATATATATATATATATATATATATATATATATATATATATATATATATATATATATAAATATATATAATATATATATATATATATAAAGAAAAAAGAAGTACTTGTGACTCGTTTGGAAAAAATATAAAACTGTTTTAGATGGTTTGAAGTCAATAAAAGGTGCTATTTGTTGACTATTTTTTACTCGAGCTTTCAATTGTGATTACAATTTTTATCAAGAGCTTCTAAAAAATACAAAGTTGAACTAGAAATAAAAAAATTTGTTGTTAACTAACCAAATAAAATTAGTTTTTTTATATAACGCTCATTGACTTTTTTATGTTTTGCTGCCACTCTAGTTTGGGTCTTCTTCGCTTTCTATTCCCTATTGGGGTCCAGTTCAGTATTTTTTGGGCCATCTAGTATTTTGTATTAGCTCTACGTGTCCGTACCAGGTAAGTTGTTTCTTTTCGATATCCTAAATTATCGTACCTTCTATTCCCATTCGTTGTTTTATATGGTCATTCCTCATTCTTTCTCTTCTTTTTTTGTCTGTCTCGAATTCTCCATGTTTCCGCTCCATACAATAGGCTGCTCTTAACCATTGTCTCGTATATAATGAATTTTCTCCTTTTTGTTATCTCCTTGCTCCACAAGATGCCATTCAGACAT